AGCCAGCATGCTGGCTGGGGAATTCTGGGAGTTGAAGTCCACATGTCTTAAAATTGCCAAGGTTGAGAAACACTGCTTTAAAAAATTAAGCCTATGGTTAATTATTTTAATATAAATACTTATAAATCTTTCATTCCAGTTGTACCCTCCTGGCTCTCACTGCAGCTGTGTTTGCACAACCATGGTTATTCTAACCATAACCATGGTTCTTTTAACCACAAGCACGGTTGCTTTAACTGTAACCATGGTGGGTTTTTTTACAATGGCTTACTCCATTGATCCCCTTGTTTGCATTCTCATCACACCGAATTATAAACTAACCATGTGGGCTGGGCTCAAGCAACACACTGACCCACAAAAATCAGGGCTTAAACTAACTAGCATCTTGGGCAAATAGGGCTCTTTTTCCTTGGCAATGCTGGTGGGTTGATATGCAACTTTAATCCATCAACCAGTTGTGGTTTAAGACATCCCCAGGGATTGCTCACCTAAGTGCTTCCTTATTGGATACAGTGCCCCATTTAAACCTGGTTTGGAAGAAAAGGTTTAGAGAAGTGTTGGTTACCCTTTGTCTGTCTGTGCTCTGTTAGCTTTTGGAAATGCAAAGACCATTCGCAACGACAACTCCAGCCGGTTTGGTAAATACATCGACATCCATTTCAACAAGCGAGGTGCGATTGAGGGAGCCAAAATTGAGCAATACCTGTTGGAGAAATCCCGTGTTTGTCGACAGGTAACTACACCCTGTGGACACCACCTTAGGTGTACCTGTTTTCCTGTTGCTGGAAGTCTGGCAACCCTAGCCTGGGGCCATCCTGGTGTTATGTCACTTGAAGTTTATCCAGGGGAGGTGCCAATCCTCCAGAAGTGCTTTCCACAAACGTTATTTATTCATTTCAGAGAGATTGAGTCTGGCGACCCATGTTTTTAACCGCTGGTGTAGCTTTCTCTTCCTGCGTTCCAGTTTAGTTTTAAAATATGGGCTGGTCCATCTTTCTCAACCCAAGCTGCCTCACAGGCTTGTTGCAACGATCCCCATGTCCGCCACCTGGAGCTCCAGGAGAAGAAATGGGCTATCCATCTGACTATTCATAAATAAATACTATCATACCATCTCTACTGATTTTCCTTTAGCCACTGGAAGGGAACCAAAGCTATAGTTCATATGGGTTGGTGTGTGGGTAACTTTTCCCCAACGTGAATAATTAGATACCAGAGCTTGCGGCCTTGAGGGATGGGACCTATAATTCAAAACATCTGGACAGGGGTTGAGGAAGACCAGCAAAACTGTCAGAAGCAAAGTAGAGAAATATGCAGGTTTTTGTTTGACTTGAATAATTATTGCAGGCAGACATTTCAGTTAATCCAGAACACACAGAAGCACAGACATGCACCCCATACTGAGCAAAATCTTGAGCAGAATTTCATCCCTGTGTCATCTGTTGTCCACTGCTGTAGGTATCCACTCTACCCACTTTCTCAGTAAGGCAGGGGGGGCTCTGTGGTTGAGCGATGTCCTACCTCACAAGACTGTTGGGAAGAAGAGAATCCAGAGCTGGTTATTAAAATAACACAGTCGAGGTTTCACCCCTCCTGTTCTCTTCTTCTTCAGGCTCAAGATGAGAGGAACTATCACATATTTTATTGCATGCTGAAAGGAATGACCTTGGAGCAGAAAAAAATGCTGGGACTTAGAAAAGCAGCAGACTATAACTATCTTTCAATGGTAAGAGGTTGGGGGATCAACAGGAGCTTTTATAGGAAAACCTTTTCATGCTGCTATAGCTAGTCCTTGATTTATGACCACAATTGGACCAGAACGTCTATCACTAAGCGATACGGTTGTTAAGTGAGTTGCACCCGATTTTATGACCTTTTTTGCCATGGTCGTTACATGAATCCGGCTTCCCCTGTTGACTTTGCTTGTTGGAAGCCCCCTGAGAAGGTTGCAAATGGTGATCACATGACCCCGGGACATTGCAACTGTCGTAAATACATGCCGGTTGCCAAGCACCTGAATTTTGATCACATGACAGCAGGGATACTGTGACGGTCGTAAGTGCAAGGACGGGTCATAAGTCACTTTTTTCAGTGCTGTCATAACTTTGAATGGTTGCTAAACGAATGGTCATAAGTCGAGGACTACCTGTGTTTCATATTCCTCCCTGCAAGGTGGAAATGATGACACTGGCCATCTCTGTCTAGCTGTTGGAAGAAGGCATCTCAAAAAATAAAGGTGCTATATTGATGATTGGGAGTTTGTATGTGTGTGCGTGTGTGCATTTCTTTCTTTCTAATGATACTCTAAAGTGCCATATGGTTCATTTTTCTAGTTGGCTGTTTTCCCATTTTCAGTGGTAGCATTTCGCAACTTTGAAGGACCTTTGGTGCAAAAAGGGAGATGCAATTTGTTTTAATTTCAAAAACGAAATCCATAATCCCTTGAATCTCCTTTTTCTGTGTGGCCCATAAACGAGCTGAGCTGCAACGGCTTGCCTCTGTGATAAACTAAGCCACGAGCTGCATTTTGTCCAGAAACGTCAGTTACCGTGTTTGCTAATGCTTTGCAAACACTGTCTTTGCACTAGGGCAATTGCATTACTTGTGATGGTAGAGACGATAGCAAAGAATACTCCAATATCCGAGCAGCAATGAAAGTCCTGATGTTCACTGACACGGAGAACTGGGAAATTTCCAAGCTTTTGGCATCCATTCTCCATATGGGGAACCTGCGATATGAAGGTAGCGTACCGAGTGCCGTGAGATACCGCACTTTGAGTTCTACCCCGATTTCGTAACATCTCCTTTCAGTTCATTGTTAACTTTCCACTTTTTGCATTACTTCTTCAGGCCTTTTCCTGCCACACCCTGCCCTTAATTCTTTATTAAGGAAGAAACTATGGACCAGCTGCAAGTGGCTGGTTTCCCACAGCATGCTTAAACCCCGGATTAGGCAAAATTTGGTTCACGATAGCTTTCCTATGGGGGCTTGGCGTGCTGTGGAAACCCAGGCCGTTCGATCAGTTTATAGAGCAACGCATTGTGCAGATCCGGAAAATGGGTTTAAATTAGTAGACTGGGTTAAGCATTTGGTAGGAATGCATCTTTTGATTGCAAGGGCTAGAAGCCTTCTCATTGCACGCACCCAGGGGTGCTTTTTGGAGTCATTAGTAAGCACTGGGCAAATTTACACTGGCCACAGAGGGGATCCAGCATTTTCATCAAAATGTGGAATGCAGCATTGGACTGTTATAACACAAGCCTCGCCCCTTTCGTACATGCATTTGATGTCACAACATACATACAAGAGCTTGCAACGTATCAGTGCAATACAGTACTGCTTTTGCCATCTGCACCCCCTTCTCTCTGACCCCCCCCTTGGAAACTTCTGCTACCTGGATAAATCCATCCCCCTGCTGCACTATTTCAAAGGACAGAGAGAGGAATAAAGTCAAGGAATATTCCTCCATATAAAAAAGGAAGTGTGATGGTATGTGGGAAAGGCCTTGGGAGGTGGGGCAAAGAGATGCTGCCTAGGGAACAGTCAGATAAGAGGCAGCTTAGCCCGCAGCTGGATAGTGGGTAGGGCAAGAAGTTCAGAAGGAACCCTGCCTAGTTTCTTGGGCTGTAAAGGAGATGGGGGCAGAACTGTACTTTCAGACTTGCAAGATTCTGTCAATGTAGCTTTACAATAAAGTAGAATTAGCTTATCTGGTCATGTTTCCTGTCTGGTCTACCTGGTAAGGCTGACAGAAAGAAAGGAAATTTCCATTCCCTGCATAAAATGCGTGTTTTTATCTCACTGCTGCAACTAGCTTGTATCTCTTCTCCCTCTGCAGCCCGGAACTATGACAACCTTGATGCTTGTGAGGTCGTCCACTCTGCATCTTTGATAACTGCTGCTTTGTTACTGGAGGTGAGTTGGATTTTCTCCCGTCTTAAGTGCTCATGTGGAAGCTGTAGGAGTCTCCCCTTACAGGTAGTCCTTGTTTGGTGACCACAGATGAGACCAGCAAGTCGGTTGTTAAGTGGTTGCTAAGTGAACCTGCAATCTGATTTCAGCTTTCCTTTGCTTTAGAGACTTGCAAAGGTCGTAAAGGCGAGATTGGTCACAAGGTTCCTTTTTCATCATCCTGATAACTGCGAATGGTTGCTAAACGAAGCAGTCACTAAATGAGGTCTACCTGTACTTCCATGGCTGATAGCTTTAGGGACTTGCAACACAAACAGCGCAGAACAGTATTTTCTGGAGGATGAGAGGGCCATCTAGTTGCAACATCTGCCACCCCATTGATTGTCAGGATTGATTTAGCTGATCTGGCTGGCTAGATAGGCGTGCATCTCTCCTGAAGCTGTGCACTTGGTGGATGAGGAGGACCAACCCAGATGGGAGTGTATCGCTCTTCGGCCAACAAATAGCATTTGTTCTATGTTGGATACTCCTTTATCACACAGCGCAGAAGGGTAACAGCACCAAATGTTGCCAACGAACATTTGCTAATGCTGGCAAATATTCCAGTTTTTCCAAACTTTTTTTTTCAGGCAAGATGCTTTTTCAGCAAGTGTCTGTATTTTCTTTCTAACCTGTTGCATGTATGTGTATTTCTGTTTTCCTTCCTGTTGCATCTATCTATCTATCTATCTATCTATCTATCTATCTATCTATCTATCTATCATCTATCATCTATCTGTCTATCTATTTCTATTTCTAGTTTTACTTCTACATCTACATCTACATGTATATTGTCAGACCTCCAAAGTAGACCAGACTAGGAAGCCAGAGTTATGAATGCTAATGCTACTTTTACTAAAAGGTTACATTAACAGAATCTTGCAAGTCTGAATTGGTTTCCCCTCCCTCCCTTTATCTTCATGGGAAGGGGGGGGGGTCATGTCTGAGACGCTTTCTCAAATAACATTTCTGCCCCAGACTCAGATTTCTTTCATCTGACTGTGGCCTTGGTTTCAGTTTTTCCTCCTGTTCCTCCTCCTGTTCCTCAAGGTCACTCCAACTTTCCATTACATCTATATCTATATCTGCATTTGCATCTATGTCTACATCTACATCTATCAATATCTCTGTGTCTATATGTATTGGGAAGCCTGGGATTGGCCGCGCACCCTCAGCTCTGAGTCATGTGACCAGGAAGGAAGAGGGAGGAGCTTAGAATGGAGGAGTCCACAATATTCTGAGCCCCCACCCCACTGCTTCTTCCCTGGGGATTATCGCAGAACCGGATCTTTCATTTGGAGGCTTTTCCTACCACCAGTGTGGTCCCCTTCTGCTCAGTTTTCAGAGAATTTTCCTGCTGATCGGCAGAGTCCCTTTACCTAATGTCTTTCCAGCTTTTGGTTGGGTTGGAAAGTAAAAAAAAAAAAAGGCAAGGAATGTCTGAATGCATCTCTTCTCAGGAAGAGTAATGGCAGGCATTAAAGTTGCAGCTATTTCTCAAGCTTATGCAAAGAACATTGATCCCTTACTCTGTAGAAAACAGACCCAAGCAGGATTTATACTGACAGATCATGATAATGTGTCATAGCCTGATGGGATGAGATGTTAGCCAGATCTTTTCCCGGGATACAGGTAACTCATCCTCCCCGCTGGATTTTCAGTCGACTGTACAGGTAGTCCCCAGGTTAAGAACGAGTTCTGTTCCCAAGGTCTGTCCTTAAGTCAGATTTGTACGTAAGCCAGAACAGAATGATTGTATAATACTGTATAAATCAGTGTTTCTCAACCTTGGCAACTTTAAGATGAGCGGACTTCAACTCCCAGAATTCCCC